GTTGTCATAGTCACCCACATAGTGATAATGTGGTTGCAAATAACATGAATAAGGGCAAGGGAGAGAACCCAGGATACCTCCGTGAGAGGAAAACGGTGAGGCCGTGTAGAAAGAGCACCAACTAGTGACCCAGGAGCCAAAGGAAAGGTCTCACAAGAACTTCCAAATGCTTAAGGCCAAGAAACCTGAAGCCTGAGGAAGTCACTGATTTGAGAAATAAGGCATGATGGGTGATCTTCAAGACAGCAGTTTTAGTAGAATGGTGGGAAAAACACCAGATTGAAGAGGCCGGGGATGCGTGGAAGAGGAGGTGAAGACATCCCACAAAAATTCCTTTGGAAAGTGTGATAGTGGAAGAATAGAGCAGCACGTTATAGGATAGCATAATGCAGGGGGAAAAGATGTTAATTTTTGGAATACAGGAACATGGACATATAACTGGGGAACAGAAAATAACTCAGTGGAGAAAGGGAGGTGAATTGTACAAGAAAGACTGAAGGAACATGGTCTCCTAGAAAACAGGTGTCAGAGAAGGCGCAGAAAGAACCAGTAGTCTTGGGAAGATATTTTTCCTCTGGGACAATAAAGGGCAAGTGAAGTTTCAAAATAGCTTTAAAGGAGAGAGAGAAGAGAAATTTAAGAAGTTAAAGTCAGACAGATGTGATTTCAGTAAGGTCGGAAGGAAGGTCGTTTCCAGGTGCTTTCCAGTTTAATAAATATTTGAGCACCTCTGATACGCCTGGCACTACAAATACATAAATAAGGCAGCTCCTGCCTCAATTCACATTTAATGGGCACTGATAGTCCTCAAAGCAATACCAAACACTGGCTCATGCAACCCCCTGTCTCTTTGAGGAAGAGAAGGGAAATATCTTCCCTTCTTTTTTTTTGAGTTGGAGTCTCACTCCGTCGCCCAGGCTGGAGTGCAGTGGCACGCTCACGGCCACCCCAGCATTGACCCTCTGGGCTCTGGCGATCCTTGCGCCTCAGCCTTCCAAGTAGCCGGAACTACAGGCGCACGCTACCATGCCCGGCTAATTTTTGATTTATTGTAGAGATGAGGTCTTGCCAAATTGCCCAGGTGGGTCTCAAGCCTGTGGGCTCAGGCAATCCTCTCACCTCGACCTCTCCAAGTGCTAAGATTATAGGCATGAGTCACCGTGCCCAGCCTCATTTTCTTTTTTTTTGAGTTGGAGTCTCCGTCGCCCTGGCTGGAGTGCAGCGGCACACTCACGGCCACCTCAGCATTGACCCTCTGGGCTCCAGCGATCCTTCTGCCTCAGCCTTCCAAGTAGCCAGAACTACAGGTGCACGCCACCACACCCAGCTCATTTTTTATTTATTGTAGAGTCGAGGTCTCGCCAAATTGCCTAGGCTATTCTCAAAACTATAGGCTCAGGCAATTCCCTTACCTCGGCCTCCCAAAATGCTGGAATTACAGGCTTGAGCCACCATGCCTGGCCTATCATTCCTTCTTAACCCCAATGTTGAATGTGTAGCCAAAGTACATTAAGTGAGTTGGACAAAGTCCACAGTTTTGGTGATGAAACTTGGGCTAGAACACAGCGCCATTTCCTCTCGTTAACTGCCACTATAAAGCATGGACTCTGCCATATCTTACTTTACAAATCTAATTCTTTCCAAATCCCCTTGGTTCTCCACTCACTAATGCAAAAATTAGGAAGTACAGCCTTGGCCTGTGGGGCTCAGGTGATCCTTCCACCTCAGCCTCCCAAGTATCTGGAACCATAGGCATGCGCCACCATGCCCAGCTAATTTTTTGATTGATGGTAGAAATGAAGTCTCTCCAAGTTGCCCAAGCTGGCTTCGAACCCCTGGGCTCAGGCAATCCTCTCACCTCTGCCTCCCAAAGTGCTGGGATGACAGGCGTGAGCCACTGAGCCTGGCCGACCTAGAATTCTTTACCAAGAAAAAATACCTTCAAAGATGAAGGTAATACAAAGATGTTTCGAGAAAAATAAAAACTAAGAATGTTCTGCCAGCAGATTCACATCGAAAGAGCAAACATTCACTATTTAAAATAATAATCAGCCCATTTAGGTTAATATATACATTGCAGGCTGGGTGCAGTGGCTCACACCTATATTCCCAGCACTTTGGGAGGCAGAGGCGAGAGGATTGCCTGAGCCCATGGGTTCAAGACCAGCCTGGGCAACTTGGTAAGACTTCATCTCTACAATAAATCAAAAAATTAGCAGGGCGTGGTGGTACATGTCTGTGGTTCCAGCTATGTGGAAGGCTGAGGTGGGGATCGCCTGAGCGCAGCAGGTCGAGGCTGCGGTGGCCGTGAGTGTGCCACTGCACTGCAGCCTGGGTGACAGAGTGAGACTCCCACTCAGTAAATATATATATATACATGGCATTAAAATACACAAGATAACAAAGCACAAAAGGCAGAAGGAGGGTAAATGAAGTTGAAGTGTTCTATGGTCCTTTCATTTCCTGAAGTGGCAAATGTATTAATGCACATGAGATGCTCATTAGTCCCGTTAGAATGTTGTGATCTCTAGGGTCTGCACTAAAAGAATATTGTAAAATAATGTTTAACAAGCAGAGGAAAAAACTTAAATAATAAAGAAAAATACTTGATAAATGCAATACATACGTAGGGCATGTAGAGAGAGGCACATGATATCACAAGTTAACCAATTCTTAGACTCACAGAATCTTGGAACTGAAAAAGGCCTTCGAAATAACCTTTGAATTATTTAAAGATGACTTAAATAACTAAGGGGAACATTTTACAATATGGAGAAGTTATGTATCTTGTCAAGGTCACATGATTGCAACAGTGCCATGATGTGGGCCTATCTTCCCTAATATCCGGTTAAATATTCCTTCCATGCTCTTCATTACCATTTTACAGTAATAAACTTGGTTTTAAAAAAAAGATCTCAAGAGAAGTATTTGAGTCTTGATGACCACTCTTTAGGAGGCCTAATCCTAAAACTCACAAGTATGTAAAATGTTCACAGTATTCAGGTTACCCAATAGCTTATTTCCTACTGAATAAGACAAGTGTGATTTTAAGGGGCAAGCATTAAAACACAGGTTGATTGGAAAATGGATTCCCCTGGTAATGTGACCCCAGCCCAGGCTCTTTCCATTGAAGAAGGTTTTCTTCCACACTTAAATAAAAAGCCAGATGTTGACACTTGTTGGTCTAGGTTAGATATAACGAAGAGAGATACTGAGTTTCACCAAATCACTCCTTCTGTTTGCGCAGAATATTTGTGTCAACTTCCCCCCAATGTGCGATCACAGCAAGTCGGAGACATGAGAACTGGAGTCATATTCCTTTCCCTGCTGCTCAACCATAAGTCCTAGCACATCTCAAAATTAACAGGCCATAGGTTCCAAACAGAACTCTGCTATGAGGTTGTCCTAATGTTAGCAGACACCGCACCCTTGGCAGAGAGGCTTGGAAGTAGAACCCAAAGGGGACCTAGCCAGATTAGAGGCTTGAGGACTGAGAAAAAAATTAGTGAGAGTTGACTATACTGGAAAATCAGCTCTTCACAGGCATTGAAACGTATCTAAGCATCATTTCCACCCAATGGTGGCCATTGGCCTCCATAGCGACAACGGTTTCTGCTGAAAACAGGCAAAATGGTACACAGTTTGAGCGGCACTCTTGAAAACCACATCTCAGACTTTAGCATATCAAAGAATCTCCCAGAGAGTTCTTAAAGATGGAGGATCACACTTGCCACTCAATATTGCTGTGAACCTGTAGAATAGAAAATACTAGCACTAGAAAATAAAGGCCATTTAAAAAAAAAAAAAACAGAGGGTTCGATCTGGGGTCTAGGTGGCACAAGCAAGAAGGCAGTAGCATTTTAGTTTGGGGACCTCACAACAACAGACAGGCAACTTCCTGCCTCCAGCCAGGGCTTGAGCACCTACTACCTTCTGATTTCTACCTGGGCCACAAGTACAAGTCCTATGGAGGCCAAGCACGAGTATAACTGGAAGGCTGAGGCTGACAGGTAAGACAGCACAGGTAGGCGAGGCTCCTGAGGGTCACCCATCATCTGTTCAAGAGCCACACGCAAGCCCAGCACCGTTCTTTTGCAGCATCGAGTTCACCTCAATTCCAGGTAGTAGCGAAACTAAACACTATGGTTTTTAAAAAATCTCGCTAGTGGTTCTAATGCATTTTTGGCGGTTTTGTCCATAGTAAATATTGTTTCAAATGGAACTATTCAGTACCCAGAATTAATTCCATTCAGTGTTTTTTTAAGTGTCAGATCCTCAGGTCACATTCCTTAAGTTCTCAGGGCTCTCAGGAAGTCCCTAGGGGAGCTCAAGAATCTGCACTTTTACAAAGCCTCTGAAGTGGCTCTGTCATAGGGTTCCGCTGGCCACAATTTGAGAACACCTCCTCCAGGTGGACAGAGCAGCTGAAGAGACGGCTTTCACCTCTGACCTGCAGGACACCAAAATTCAAGTTTTAGAAGAGCCCAAGTTCGTGTGTATAAAAAGCAAACTGAGCCCCTTGGGCACACATTTAGAGAAAGAAAAGAATCAGAATCATACTGAAAATAGTTATGATTTAATCAATGTAAACATGTAGACATGGGGGAAATGAGATTCATAATCGAAATGTGCTGTTTTCTACCTCAGAAACAGAACAGGAAAAGCATACATTTTAGGGTTTTATAACCTCTTCGTTTAAAAAAAAAAAAAATCCAAGAATAAGACCAGGTTTTCATTGTGAAAATCAAAACCCCTCGTAGAAGTGGCCCAGCAGTTCAAAGACCTTAGACCCCAAAGGCTCCCCGATCACAGAGCTGGCTCACATGTGGCAGGCCACAAACTGTGTGCCCATTGTTAATCCCGACCCATTTAGTCTAGTGTGGAATTCAGGGTCTTGCTTGGTTTGGTTTTGTTTTTCTTCGAATAGGGGAAACTCTACCCACTGAGCGTACAAGGCTTGAGAAGAAAGCATGACATTGAACCCAATAGCCATACTTGCATCAAAAACCTTGTGCCACCTCCTCATAATCCCTCTCCAGGGCTGCCAGGTCTTCCCTGGCATCCAAGAACTCCCCTTCTTCCATGCCTTCTCTGAGGTACCAGTGCAGAAACGCCCTCTTGGCATACATGAGGTCGAACTTGTGGTCCAGGCGGGCCCAGGCCGCCACGACGGCCGTGGTGTTGCTCAGCATGCAGACCGCCCGCTGGACTCTGGCCAGGTCCCCTCCTGGCACCACCGCAGGTGGCTGATTGTTGATGCCCACCTTGAAGCCCGTGGGACACCAGTCTACAAACCGAACCGAGTTCCTGGACTTGGTGGCCGCAATGGCCGCGTTCACTTCCTTAGGGACCACGTCCCCCCTGTAGAGCAGACAGCAGGCCATGTACCGCCCAAGTCGAGGATCACACTTGACCAGCTGGTGGGAGGACCCAAAGCAAGCCGCGGTGATGTCTGCGACGGAGAACTGCTCGTGGTAAGCCTTGTCCGCAGAGATAACCGGGGCGAAGGCTGTCATGGGGAAGTGCACTCTTGGATAAGGGACCAGGTTGGTCTGGAATTCAATCAGGTCCACGTTCAAGGGCCCTTGGAACCGGAGGGAGGCGGTCATGGAAGACACCGCCTGCACGGTCAGTCTGTTGAGGCTGGCATAGGAGGGGCGCTCCAGGCCGAGTCTATGATGGCAGATGTCATAGACGGCCTCGTTGTCCACCATGAAGGTGCAGTCCGAGTGCTCCAGGGTGGAGTGGGTGGTGAGGACGGCATTGTAAGGCTCCACCACAGCAGAGGCGATCCTAGGGGCCGGGTAGATGGAGAACTCCAGCTTAGTCTTCCCGCCGTACTCTGCCGAGAGCCGCTCCAGCAGGAGCGACGTGAACCCCGAGCCAGTGCCCCCTCCAAAGCTTCGGAAAACCAAAAATCCCTGAAGTCCGCTGCACTGTTCTGCCTGAGAAGAGTAGACGGGATGTGAGAATTCAGCCAGAAACATCAGAGGTAGTGAGCTGGATGGCAGTGGTAGGATACAAGTTCCCAAACAAGACAAAACCTTTCAGAAGGGCCAGGTTCACCGTGAACTCCACAGCAAACGCAGCTACTTTGAAATGCACTCGAGGGGTAGGAGGAAGGGAGCTCTTTGGAGTTTTACTATAAGCAGGGTATAAATATTCAACTGTCTTTCACTGCCCGTCATGAATTCATTTGTATGTGATCTCAAGCGAGGCCTTAATCAATAATAAAGAAAAGCTGGGCTCAATGGCTCAGCCTGTCATCCCGTGCCTTTAGGAGCCGGAGGTGAGTGGATTGCCTGAGCCCGCAGGTTCAAGACCCGCCTGGGCAGCGAGACCTCATCTCTACAATAAATCAAAAAATCAGCCAGGCGTGGTAGCACATGCCTGTAATTCCGGTTACTCAGATGGCTGAGGCGGAAGGATTGTCGCCAGAGCCCAGCAGGTGGAGGCTGCGGTGCCGGGAGCGGCCACTGCACTCCAGTCTGGGCAACAGTGAGACTCCAACTCAAAAAAAAATAATAATAGTAAAGAAAAGGAAGTGACAAACAAAACATGGAAGCTAAATAATCTTCCCACCATAGTAGGGGGGACCCCCCCAAAACACCAGAATTATCTTTTGGAGGGTGGGCCCCTGGTAGTGTGGGCTTCCCCTGCTAGGTAATGTTCTAGGAGCCGATAGCATCCGTGTACCAGCCATGTAGTGTTGTTGTGAGAGGCTGCCTTCAGCTTCAGTGAATGTTTTTGGTTTGGGTTTTGTTTTTGAAGATTTTTTTCAACGCATTTGCCCATTTGATGATGGGTGATTTACAAACACACCTGCCCACACCACACTGAGTGTCGAGCAGTTTTGGACCAAAACCGTCATGACCTCTGTGTCCTGCCCTCCCTATCCACCTGCTCTCACCCCAGGCGACTTTTTTTGGTTTCCCCGGATGAAAAAAGTCTCCAAAGGAAAACGTTTTGCTGATGTGGAGGAGCTGAAAAAACAGAAACAAAAGACAGCAGAAGCACTAAGAGGCATCAAAAGTGACAAGTTCAAAAACTGTTTCGCAGTTGAAAAGTATCTCGACAGGTGTATTGCATCAAATGGAGAATACTTTGAAGGTGACTGAAATCTAAACATGCAAAAATAAAAACACAATTTTTACAAATAAATCCCAGGTTTGGGGGGTTCCCCCTCATAGACGAAGTGCCTGGCACTTCTATGTTCCCTCTGGCATGCTGGTGTAAAAGGTGTTGCCTCACCTAGCAATTATGCCAAACACCAAAACCCTTGCTCCGCAAAGGGTCTCCAGACTCCAATCCTTACAGAAAAATCAACTGTCAGCAAACAGTCATTATCCTCCAGCTAGGGTGTGCCTGCCTCCTGTCAAGTTCGTAAATTATGGTGACTCTCAGAAAGGGACAGGTTTCAGAGTTGCTTTGGAAGATCCTGGTAACAAGGTAACCGGGGGTTCCCCAGTAAGTGTGGAGGTTTCTGTCCTCCTTCTTATGGAACTAGAGCCAACACAAGAACCCTTCCCCGGCTCAGAGCACCTGGGCGACGTCCAGGGCGAGAGGGTTGTGCCAGACAGGTAATGCCAGGGAGTCCTGCTGCAGGACCCCACACGCCCAGGCCCGCCCCGCCCAGAGAAGAGGGGCCACTTGCCAGCTTCCGAGTCCTCTCCAGCACAAGGTCGATGACCTCTGACCCCACGGAGTAACGACCTCGCGCATAGTTGTTGGCGGCATCCTCCTTCCCGCTAAGGAGCTGCTCGGGGTGGAAGAGTGAGCGGTGCTTCCCGGTCCGGATCCCATCTGCACAGGGCGACAGGGGGTCAGTGCGCTTGGGCCAGTTCATCAGTCAACCCTCTGCGAGGCCTCCCAGGGCCCTGCATCTGGGCCCGTGCTTCCCCCAGTGTTTGGGCGAGGAACGGAAGTCTACGTTGCTGAATTGGCCTTCCTTCGTCTGGGAAAAGGTGGGATTCCTTCCATACAAATCGAAAGGATGTTTTCCTATCGTACACCCTGTATTAGTCTCCCAGGGCTGCTGTCACCAGTGACAACACACTGGTGGCTGAAAACAACAGAAATGTATTTCTTAATGGTGCGGAGAACCAGAAATGGGAAACGTATGTGTTGGGAGGACTGGTTCCTTTGGAGGTGCTGGGAGAATCCGCTCCATGCGGGGGGCCAGCCCCTGCAAGTTTTAGGGAGTCCCTTGGAAGATGTGGTGGCGTCAGCGAATCTGTAGGGATAGATATTAAAAGAAAGAAAGATGGAAGGATAGATATAAAGAGGAAGAAAGAGAAAGTGGACAACTGTTCAGTGAAATGAGCAGAAGCCATTTATTGAAAGTTACAGCAGTATTTATCCCCAAATTTTACACAGGCAGTCTCACAAGTCTTTCACGTGAACACAAAGCCAGGTTCGGGGGGGGGCATCCCCCACCCATCAGACGCTTAGGTGTGAGGAGGGACAAACCCCAAGATTGTCTCATTGTTCCCTTTGCTAGTTAATGTTCTTCAAAAGCAGTGCAACAGTCCCTACTAGCCTAATGATGCTCTGATAATCAATAACTTCTAGAGCTCACACAAAACCCATGATGACTATCTTAAATTTTTTACTACCTACACAATGCTACGGAAGCTCTTAATTATAGCTTAAGCCAATTTCCTAAAGAATGTGGCCCAGTCCAAAGATCACACTGGGCCCTACAGGATGTGGCCCAGTCCAAGGTCCACGGTGGGCCACCTTTTGGAACAATAGACTACAATCTCTTAACAAAATGGCTATTCCAGAGTCCTATATATCTGTCCTAATTTCTATGAAAGTTTTCCAATTCTTAATTCTAATATATAAAGCTGATTAGCAGCAGCATAGCTTCTAAAACCTAAATGTAAACTGTAAATGTACTAAGGCCAAAACTACGATAGTAAAAAATGAAGACAATGAAATTTTTTAAGTTAACTATATTCTTATTAAACCTAAAAATATCATGATTGATTATGCTTGAACTAACATGATTCCTTGATGTAGTATGACCTATTCTACAATACCTTCTATGAATAAAATAAATTCAATTTCTATAATAGGTAGAAAAAAGACCTTACATTAACTGTAGCTAAAGCCGGCCTAAAAGAATGCAGCCCAGTCCAAAGTACGCGCTGGGCTCTCAGGAATGTGGCCCAGCCCAAACTCTGTGCTAGGCCACTCTTGATAATCATCTATACCATTGAAAAGCTGAAAACAGCTCTCCATAAGTATTTACTAATTCTACAAATATTCTTTTAAATCTTATAAAGAAGCTTGTACCGTATAAAAGGCTCCCAAATGTGACCTGAATTTGAATTATAACTAATACCTAAGCCTAAACCACAGTTTATGGGAAACAGGAACAATGGGTTTCTAGAGTGAGCCATGCCTGTCACAGTCACAGAGCCTTCAACTTAGGCCAGCAGAGTTCCTTTAGGTTGTTTGTGCTGCATGGCAAAAGGGGGAGGAAAATGGGGTCTACGGCTTCCGAACACGTCCTAGCGGTCTCGGGATCCACGGCTCTCCCTGATCCCTAACGCTCAGTGGGCCTCCGTGGCCGGCTCCCAACAGCTCCATACCTCTCTCCTAGAGTCTGGGGACGACAAACGGTGGCTGGTGCTCCTTGGCTTGTAGCTGCCCCACTCCCGTCTCTGCTTCTGGCATACAAGCCTTTTTTATGTGTGGTGGTGTGGTGTCTGGGTGCTCTCTCACTCGCTCTTTTTTCTTGGTGGTGGGGAGAAGGTAGAGACGAGGTCTTGGTATGTTGCCCAGACTGGTCTCCTGGGCTCAAGCGATCCTCCCTCTTTGGCCTCCCAAAGTGACGGGATGACAGGCATGAGCCATCATGCCCAGCTGTCTCTTCTTATAAGGACATAATTTTTTTGGCATTTAGGGCCCACCCTGTTCCAGGATGATCTAATCTTAACTACATCCAAAAAGAATCTAGTTTGTTTGTTTTGTTTTTTTTTTACTTTGTGTTACCATACCGGTCCTCTTGCAATGGGTATTTTCACACTCTCTTATTCAATTTTTCCAAAATGTGATTTTTTTTCTGCCTAATCTGAACAAATGTTAGTCTCCTGTAAAGCCAGGTTATTTAATGTAAAGGGTGTTTTGCACAAGTTATGCCACATTATTTCTGTTATCAGCAAGTATTGGTTCCTCCTTGACATTACATTTATTTGTAAATGATTAGAAGTGTATTGCAGGTTTAAAACAGTGTTTCAACCTACAGCTCACATTCCCTTAGTTTTGAAATGACTATACGACCAATCTGGAATGTCTGAAATTAGAGAAAAATCCACGGCTGAATGGAAAATAAAAAGGCCTCTTTCACAGACACACTTCCATAGAGAGCACAAAGGGCACCACCCTTCTAGAGAATTCCTTTGCCCTGATCTTTTTCAAATAAGGCCACATTCTGGGGTTCCAGATGGATATGAATTTGGGGGACACTCTTCAACCCCACTACACGCCCTATGGCCATTTCGCATTTTTGAGACAAGTATTGTTATCCACAAATAGCCAACCGTGTGCCGGAAAAGCACACAGAAAGGCATACCAATCCAAATCATTACTGATGTGCTTTAAAAGAGTTTTCTTTAGCCAAGAAGGCATGGCACACCCAGTTGCCCACACGACTCAAATGCAGTGAGCATAAACACACAAAGCTGGGGAACCGGTGTCAAGATGCTGGCAGGACTAAAGACAACCGAGAACAAGCCTTGCCTGGCTTCATTGCCTTCTAAAACCCTGGGCAGCATGCCCCGCTCCCCTATCTTAGAATGACTCAAATCGCATCATTCCTGATGATTAAGCAGCAGTGTGTGAGAGTTTTGGGAATGTTGCCCTGGCTACTGCGGGACACCACCCTGCTTAGTAGCTAGAAGCGTGTGTGCTCAAGAATCAGTTTCCTGGGTTCGTGGCTTGCCTTCCTTACCAAATTGGAGAGAAGTTACTTAGTCAATTATTTCAGCTCACGGGCAAGGATGCTAGTAATGAGCTGTTATGAGGACTAAATAAGAACTGAGGGCACCATGCGTGGCCCATACAAAAACAATGAGAGGTAATAACGATAGAACTGGCTTCATGACATGCACTTACACAGATTTGCCTCATCTCACATCATTGGCCTTGGCACCGGATAGCTGAGCCAGTACCGGAAGCTCACAGTCTAAGGGGAGGTGTGCCATGTGCAGGTTTGCTCACAGGTGTATTGCATGACGACTAGGTTTCAGCTTCTATGGAGCCCATCACCCAGATGGTGAGCATGGTGCCCAGCAGGTCGTTTTTGGACCCCTGCCCCCCTTTTTCCTCCCCTTAGGAGTCCCAGTCTCTGTGGTTCCCATCCTTGTGTCTGTGTATACCCAGCGTTTAACTCCCACTTTTATAAATGAGAACATGTGGTTTTCCGTTTCTGTACTTAGAATTTGCTTAGAATCACGGCCCCCAGTTGTGTCCATGTTGCTGTAAAGAACATGATTTCTTTCTTTTTTATGGCTGTGTAGTATTCCATGGTGTGTATAGGCCACATTTTCCTTATCCAGTCCACCATTGATGGGCACCTGGGTTGGCTCCATGTTTTCACTGTTGTGAATAGATGCACTATGTTTCCAAGAGTGAGATTGTTTTCTCATTCGCCTCATTCCTAAGCCTCAATTTTTCATGCCTCCTAATGATTATATTTATTAAATTTGAGTTGAAATAACTTTTAACTAGTTTACACACAAAACCCCCAAAATCAGGCTATTTAAGAGATATATTTATGATTCTGGGCAGGACTATTTGCTTCTCATCTAAAGCTATAAGGCTGTGATCAGTCTTAGGAGGCAATTTATGGATGTCGTCTTCTTCATGACAACATTTGACGGGGATCTTGAGGGCCACTGGGTCCATAAATTCAGTAAAATTTGCTGTCTCAGAGTTTAGTGAGTAGAGCATCCAACACTTGTAAATAATCCAGTACCATCTATTCTAACTTCATGTTACCCATGTTGCTCAGAGACTTCAGTACCCGACCCCGTGTCCTTAACCAACATCCTCAGAGACTTCAGTGGTATTTTTTTTATTGTTTAATAATAAAATAATGTCATATGAGTGTATGTTTGTCACATGGGCGTGTTGCACACTGGTGGGGATTAGGTTTCAGAAGACCCATTCGCCAGAGTGTGAACACTGTACCCAACAGGTAACTTCTGAACCATAACCACCCTCCCCGCCTGCCCCCTTTGAGTCTCCCCAGCGTCTATTATTTCCATCTTTGTGGTCATTTAGGTCAGTGTTGGTTTTTCTGTTTCTGAGTTAGTTCACTAAGGGTGATGTGCTCCAGCTCCATCCATGTTACTGTAAAGGACATTATTTCATTCTTTTACATGACTGCGTAGCATTCCATGATATATATGCATATACCATATAATCTACACACCATATTTTCCTTATCCAAACTACCATTGATGGAGACAGAATTATTTGACCGTTTCTTGGCTTCCGTAACTCTAACACCATCCAGCAGCATTCCACTTGAATCATCACTCAGAACTATTCCACCTTCGAATCTCAAACTTGCAAATCTTTCTCTAATCCCAATTTCCTTACCTTGCCCTAACTTCACACATAACCCAGCGCCTAGCCATCTTCCCAACCTCGTCTCCCACTTTGCTCTCCTGCTCACACCCTGTATTCTGACCACAGTGAACTCAAATATGCTATCAATTTGGTTTCTGTTGGTCTGCGCTCTACTTGAACGTAGGCTCCATGGCGACTGAGACTACATGTATCTCCAATGTCAAGAATGGTGCCTAGAACATAAGAGTCTCTCTTATTTGTTGAATGAAACAAGGAAAATCCACGCCCTCTAGCTAAGTCCTGGAGTACTGTTTTTACTTGTGTGTGTTTGTCTGAACCAGCTCAAGACACCTTCAAAATCACCTTTCCTCCAGACTGTGCCCAAGAGGACTGTGGAATTTCTCCAGGCATTTGCCGTCTTTCTCTCCTCTGACTATCTCGAGTTCTGATCCTTGACCATGAATCTGCTATTTTCCTAGTGTCTTTGGATAGGCACAAACTAAACTATCTGCTGTGACAGCCATAATACTGAGAAATGGCCTCTCACATTGCTTATTCAGCTACATTTACCAAAGTCCACTGGCGACACACATATTCCACCCAGCCAAGGTTCCTGGGATGCCAGATTCCAGCTACTGCTCAGAGTTGCAAACTCCCACTTGCCTTAACCAGAAACTCAGATCTTCTTAGAGCACTTATAACCCACATGAGAAACAATTTCTCTTAGCCTCCATACTGGTCTCAACTGTTCTTGAAGTAGTCAGTAATTCCTGTTTCTGCTTTACAATATTTAGCAGAGTAATGCTGAATCTATATGTAGGTAGCATGGCCCCAACAATTCTTAACTTTACCCTCTTAATAAAACTTCTTATCTTTTCATTTGTGTTGTGTTATCTTCTTCCCCCAATAGGTCTATTACTTAGTCAGCCTCAGTTCCGATGAGAAAATCAACTCCCATCTAGTACAGACAGACTGTACTTTCCAAAGATGGCCCACAACAATTCCCATCTCACATGTGCTTCTAGAATCCCGTTATTTCGGCATCACAGGGTAGAGTCAGACTATATCCCCTCTCTGGGTGGATCCTTGTAACTGCCTCAACCCATTGAGAACAGCTAAAATGACACTATGTGACTTCAAGGCTAGGTTATAAAAATGCCATGGACTTCCCTCTTGTTCTTATGAGATGCTTGTTCTTGGAACCCGGCAGCCATGCTATGAGGAAGCCAAAGCAGCCCACAGAGAGACCTAGGTCAGGCAGGACCAACGCCCTACCCACAGCCCTGGTCTAAGTCTCGGCCGATAGCCAGCACCAACAGGCCAGCCACACAAGTGAACTCCTTTCAGAATGGATGTCCCAGCTTTCCCTTGAGCCTTCCTAGCTGATGCCACACAGAGCAGAGAGGGGCTGTCCCCTCAGAGTCTCACCCAAATTGCTGATCCGTGACAAAACAATGATCATTATTGCCCTAAACCACCAAGTTTGGGGAAAGTATTACATGGCAATAAATAACTGATACGCAGTATCAGACCCAAATCTGCCTACCTCTCTAGTTTTTCTCTTAAGTTAGTAAAACCTTCTCTCTCCATTTTCTTTCCAGCTCCATTTCAAGAGTTTTTGTGTGTCATACAACAAAGGCTGCCGTTAATAATTACAAAATTGTATTGGCTAACTGGAATATTTTATTTTGCTCCTTGCTTTTTAAGGATCATTTTCAAATATCCTACTCTTTAGAGGCAGATCATAACACATTTTCAGATACTTTGACAGTTGTTTGCAGAAATGGTTCTCAAGCCCAGGAAAATACTTGGTGTTCTGTTGTGATATGTATGTAGATCAATTAACAAGGTATTAGTTTGTCTCATCACCCAGGAAAAGAAAGCTAACCTAATATTCCCTTAGGATATGTTTGTCATGTTAACACCCTAAATGGCCATTGAGTAAGTCTCTAAATTTGGAAACGGTCTGTGTGATCTTGTTCAGATGGATTAGTGTAATCTGATAATATCCCACCTACTTGATGTGTTCGTTTTGAGTGTGGACCTGGCCAAGCACACTAGAATGTAGCATTTATATTACCTATAACCGTCGGCTCCAAGTCCATGAAGAGTGCTCTGGGCACATGCTTCCCAGCTCTCGTCTCACAGAAGAAGCTATCGAAAGATGCACTCGGATGCTCCATTTTACCATTTTCCAGTTGATCCTGTTTATGGTCAAGAATGACGCCGTCTGGCTGGATTCCATGTTCCAGGCAATAGAGTTCCCAGCAGGCATCCCCAATCTGGGTGCCAGCTTGACCCACATGGATGGAAAGGCACTCTCTCTGAAATAAGCCACAGCGAGTTGGAACTGAGTGTTTTGACAAGGGCTATGTTACTTGGCACTTCTGGTTATGAATGACAAAAACCAGCTAGCTGAAGGTCATAGAAATTTGGTATAAGGATAACCAAATGTGTTTCATGGAAACCAAAAACCAGACTACAGCTAAGCTTCAGGGACAATTAAACCAAGAATTTACATTCCATTAAAAAGTTTATTTCAGCAACATAAATTAAGCACCTACTCTGTACTTGGCTAAGAACTGAATTAAGAATAACTCAAGACAAAATACAACTGATTTAACTTCACTCTTAATATAGATGATATATACAAACATATATGTGTGTATCAAGTTGACTTACTCAGAAAAAATTAGCTAGTTATAGGAAATAAATCAAATTAATGTCAATATTCAGGTTTGTCGGATATTAAAATCCATTAAATTCATGATGTCATTTTTTATGCCTTGAGATATTACATCTACTATTCATAGTCACACCAAATAAGCGTAGCTATTCTAAACTTAAGACCAGTGGAAAATTTAATAAGAAAAAATGCTGTAGATTTAACAATCCCAAAATGTAAAACTTCTATATCATAACAAACAAATTTATGTACAAAAATTGATTTTGTATGGTTCAAATTTCGTACATATTACTTTTAAAAAATACTTGAGACATCCACTAGATAAACAGGTAAATGACATACACGAAAAATTTACCAAAGAAAGAAAGACTAAAATGCAAAGATGTAGCCGGGCTCGGTGGCTCAGCCTGAAATCCCGCGCCTTGGGAGGCTGAGGTGAGTGGATTGCCTGAGCCCGCGGGTTCGAGACCCACCTGGGCAACTTGGCGAGACCTCATCTCTATAATAAATCAAAAATCAGCCAGGTGTGGTAGCGCGCGCCTGTAATTCCGGCTACTCGGAAGGCTGAGGCGGAAGGATCGCCGGAGCCCAGCAGGTCGAGGCTGCGGTGGCCGGGAGCGGCCACTGCACTCCAGTCTGGGCGACAGAGTGAGACTCCAACTCAAAAAAAAAAAAAAAAAAATGCAAAAGATGTGGGCCCCAATGGCATTCCCAACATTATAATTTATAATGTGAAAACCAAGAACCAATATACTTAATCTGCTTAACTATTTGTCTGTTGTTGTTTTTTCTTTTGTTTTTTTGTTTGTTTTGGTTTTTTGAGTCAGAGTCCCATGCTATCATCCAGACTGGAGTGCAGTGTCACACTCATGGCCACCCCAGTGTCAACCTGCCAGGCTCTGGCAATCCTTCTGCCTCAGCCTTCCAAGTAGCCAGAACTACAGGCGCGCGCTACCACACCCGGCTAATTTCTTTTGATTTATTGTAGAGATGAAGTCTCACCAAGTTGCCCAGGCTGGTCTCGAAGCCGTGGGCTCAGGCAATCCACTTGCCTCGGCCTCCCAAAGTGCTGGGATGACAGGCGGAGCCACGAGCCCGGCCTGTCTGTTGTTTTTAAAGGATGTTACATTGATGCAATAGCATATTGTGCAATCTTTAAATGTTTATTCAAAAAAAAAAAAAAAGATTTATGAGATGGAAAATGCTGATGGCAACATTAAGTAAAAAGCACATCAGATGTATAATTGTATATAGAGTATGGTGTCAAACACATCCAAAAGTGGGCATAGAAACAGAAAATGCACCAAGATACTGACTCTAGTTACAGCTGAACAGCAAGTGATTTTGTTGTTATTTGAAGTTTACTATTTTCTTTCGCCCTCATCAGCCTCCACCCCCATCCTACTCTTCATAATCATTCACTTTTTTTTTGAGTTGGAGTCTCACTCTGTCGCCCAGACTGGAGTGCAGTGGCCGCTCCCGGCCACCACAGCCTTGACCTGCTGGGCTCCAGCGATCCTTCCACCTCCGCCTTCCCAGTAGCCAGAATTACAGGCATGCGCTACCACGCCCAGCTGATTTTTTGATTTATTGTAGAGATGAGGTCTCGCTGCCCAGGCGGGTTTCGAACCCGCAGGCTCAGACAGTCCTCTCACCTCACCCTCCCAGAGGCGCGGGATTACAGGCTGAGCCACCGAGTCCGGCTTCACTTTTTTTTTTAAGGCAAACAACTCTTCTGGTAAGTTTTAAAGACACAATGATCTACTCCTTTAAGAGAGGGAAAGGAAAACGTAAGTCCTATAATCTAGTGACGGCAACCACTGGTGTTAATACTGGTGCAGTTTGATTGTCAGTGGTGCTGGAACAAGTCTACACAGAGGGTCTTACAGAGTGAGACCTCTTGTCTTCTGCATCGTCAGAGCTCTTTGAGCTGTCCCACCAGATAAGCTGAGGGTTAACCCTGCCCTTGTCCATGTCATCATGGCCCCAAAGCCTGAGAATTAACCAGAAAAAGACCTCGGGCTACTTGTCACCATTGCCCTGTGGTCTATGCAGACCAGTAGGGAGGGAGGGAGGAAGCGGTCTGCCAGCCACACCCCTGCAATCTGACTTGGACTCTGTTCCCGTTCAGCACCACCAACCCTTGTACTTTGTCTCTGCGATTCACGAGGCATAACACGGCCCTCTTTGCTTCTGAGAAATTCAGTTTCACTACTTCAGTAGAATGTCTATCTTGATTCTTCTCTGTGCAATTGTCTGTGTCTCAAAACAAAGGCTTCAAGCTTAACTTGGAAAGCACTTCTCTTAGGACCAACTAATATTTCACCTCTCAAAACAGCACATTCTGTTATAAACAAGAGTATACGAATACCCTTATCTGCAAAGCACAGCTTTACTCCTCTCCCCTTCTGTCGAACTTAAATTGCTATAAATACATAGGCGACTTTGAACAGATCAAAACTTGGTTCTCGAAATGTAAGTTAAAACGTTTTAAAAGGAGAAGGAACCTCATTGCTTCTGCATCATGAAAACCTTTTACTTTGTAAAGTACATGTAGATGTTTCCCACTCTCTTCCTGGACCAATTTCATATTCTAGTCATGAGTAAAATTGACATGTTCATATGGCATTTGCTCACAACATTCGCAGTACAAATAATCGCTCACATTTTTTAAAAAGTGCTCCTCGTCATGTGGTGTGTTCCCCAAGTGGTTCAGACATCAACATGATGCTATTCTTTTTTTAACTCCACATGGAATAACTTGGTCCAACAAGCATCCTTCTTGGTTTAATATTTACTTATTTATTTGTTTGTTTATTATTTATTTATTTAGAGTCGGAGTCTCATTCTGTCACCCAGGCTGGAGTGCAGTGGCACGATCATAGCTCACTGCAGCCTCAACCTCCTGGGCTCAGGTGATCCTTCTACCTCAGCCTCTCAAGTAGTTGTGATTACAGGCACATGCCACCACTCCTGGGCTCAAGCAGTCCTCCTGCTTCAGCCTCTCGAAGTGCTTGGGATTACAGGCATAAGCCACCACACCCAGCCCGTCTTGGTTTTAGAAGAAGCTGAGTTTATAACCCAACTGTGTCCAAGATATAAAAGACTATCGTCACCTTATTCCTCTTTTAAACACTCTCTCCTTTCCAAATTCTCTATTAAAATATGTCACACTTTAAAATAGTATAAGATTGTAAAACTCCCACTGACTGGCAACACTAAGTCCTGGCAGATTGTTAAACGCTGCTGTAGAGATTATTTGCATTACTAGAAAGGTACAACTTTTTAATTACACTTTTAATGGTAGATTCACATGCAGTTGTAAGAAATAGCACATGAACATCCGTGTATCCCTTACCTATTTTCCCCAAGAGAAATATCTTACAAGATTATAATACAAAATCACAAACCTGAATTGCTAACATTGATACAGTCAAGACGCAGAACATTCCACTACCACAAGTATCCCTCATGTTGAAAGTCATAATGTTTGGAAGCAAAACATTTTAAACATCCTTAAAATGCTGGACAGAGAGTTCAATGAGGGGACAAAATCAAAGACGAAAACACAGTTGGAAAGGTTGTTTCTATTTAAGAATTAAAAATTCTAAGATCCTGAAAATTACTAAATGGCACAAGAGGCAATAAAGGGGAAGTAGATTTTAAAATGTAGTCCCGTTACTACATTACTGGAAGTAATTCTATTCATTATTGTACTCAAAGAACTAAACTCAGGAGAAGACAAAGAAGATATCTGTGCACTTGACCCTGCCAGGCATTCTTGAGGTTAGCAATGGTTAGCTGAGTCTGAAGTCACCAGAAACTCTAACGTGTAATCAAAAGCGAAGCAATGAATATCTATAGAAAAATCAGTACATCGGGCCTGAAACTACGAGGAAAACTAAAGGTAGCAGAGGTTCTTCAATTCTTCTTCAGCTCTTCAAGGCAGGGAAATACTGCGAATCAACTGAGCTTTACCTAAAAGAAGCAAAACTGCAGATGAATAGATTAGAACCCCTCCACACTTGCTTTCAACTTATATCCTTGGATAGTGCAAGAAACAATTGTCTCTTTACAGCTTTCTTCTCTTGTCTTAAAAATGTATTGAGAATTGTTTGCTGGGGGGGAAAGGGCCAAATATGATTAGTCAAGTTCGCTACACACCAAATCAATGCTGTCATCCGTGTACAAGCAGGCGGTCACTTACCATACTGGCATGCACGCGCCCCTCCTGCCCAGTGGTAATGATTAAGGAGCATTCCAGTTGAGCTTTATCACAAGGAGGAAATGGCTCTACCTGAGGGCTGAAGAACCGTCTTTACTTAAAGCAGTACAACCTCTTTTTAGGTTTTTAGTTGTCTGATCTCTGAGTAGCTGTGTCAGGTCTGAACAACCTGTGATAAAGTTTGCGTACAATAACAGAAGAATTAATGAGAGCTTATCCAAATCTGCTTCAAACTTATTCCTATGTTGAAAATAACAAGTGTTTTTAGCTATTTGTTTTTTATTTTTTAAAGAGAGAGGCTTGCTCTGTCACCCAGGGTGGAGCGCAGTGACACGAACATAGCTCACTGTGGTCTCAAATGTTTGGGCTCAAGAGATCCTCCCGCTTCAGCCTCCCAACATGTCTTTTAAAAATCCCCTCTTGTATTAAGAATTCATTAAGCATCGGCCGGGCTCGGTGGCCCAGCCTGCAATCCCAGCACTTTGGGAGGCCAAGGTGAATGGATTGCCTGAGCCCACGGGTTCGAGACTCGCCTGGCCAACTTGGCGAGAACTTATCTCTACAATAAATCAAAAACTAGCCAGGCGTGGTAGCGTGCACCTGTAGTTCCAGCTACTTGGAAGGCTGAGGCAGAAGGATCGCCGGAGCCCAGCAGGTCGAAGTTGCAGTGGCCGGGATCGTGCCATTGCACTCCCGTCTGGACAACAGAGTGAGACTCCAACTCAAAAATTAAAAAATTAAAATTAAAATTAAAAATAAAATAAGATTGATGATGGTTGCACTATCCATGAATATACTAAAACCATTGAATTGCACATGTTAAATGGGCAAATTATGTGGTGTGTGAATTATAGCTCAATAAAGCTATTAAAATATAACCTGGGGAAAATAACTTAAAACCATTTAGCACTCTTATATCTTGGAAATCCTTTGCTAGCATAGTATAACTGAATTTTTTTCTATTTCATATTTTAATTGGAGAAACTAATTGGAGAATTTAGTCTACTATGTTTAATGTAGCAATATAGTTAGATTTAGCATTACTATCTAATTTTGGACTTTCTGTTTGCCCTTATGTACTAAGTTGTCCTTTCTCTTCTTTCTAGTCTTCTTTTAAATGAATGTTTCTTTAGCATGTTAACGTTTGCATTATTCAGTACTCGAATAAATAATTTTATTACTCAAGAATCTTGGTTTGTGCCTAGCACAGTGGCTTATGCCTGTCATCCCAGCACTTTGGGAGGTGGAGGCGAGAGGATTGCCTGAGCCCAGAGGTTCAAGACCAGCCTGGGCAACTTGGTAAGACCTCATCTCTACAATAAAATAAAAAAATTAGTAGGGCGTGGTGGCACGTACCTGTGGTTTCAGCTACTTGGAAGGCTGAGGCCAAAGGATCACCTGAGCCCAGCAGGTGGCAGTGAGTGTGCTGCTGCACTCCAGCATGAGCTACTCCGATTCAAAAACAAAAAAGCATTACGGTTTGTGCCACTTCTTTCTCACAACTTTGAGAAAATGAAGAAACCATAGTGTTCTTCAGTAGTTTTCACCTGAATTTACCAAGAGTCATACTTGTTTTTGGTTTTGATCTTCATAAAGTCAATTCCCATCTGTTTCTATCTGTCAATAATCCCCCCCAAATGTTTAGGTCCTTGGTAGTGCCATATAATAAAAAGAAAAAGTAAGCCAGCTCCACTTTACAAAATCAGAATATCTACTTTGTTGCTGTATGAAATTTCTCCCACGGGTCCCAGATATTTTCAGTTTGAAACAAAATAAGGGGAAATCAAACAATTTGAGGATCTCATTTCTAGTCCACTGACACACTCAGTACTTTTGATTAATGTTTTAAAGTTATGGACCTCACTTAGAACTGTGATTGACTTCAATTTGCAAAGCAATTAGAAGAAAATTAGAAAAACTTGTTTATAAAATAACTTCAGAAATGCACCTTATCTTTTAGTAATTCCTTCTTTCTTTGAAAAACTACATCTTAAAGGAAAATGGTTTTCTTGAGTAATGATCATCTGATCATCGGAATTTCAAGTCGGAAGGGACCTCCTGGTGTGGGGGTTGGTTTTGTCAACTTGGCTGGCTACCGTACCCAGTTATTCAACCAACACTAATCTAGGTGTGAAGATATTTTGTAGATGAGGTGAACAGCTACAAGCAGTTGACTTTGACTTTGAGTAAAGTAGATCATCATCAACAATGTGAGAGGGCCTCATCCAATCAGTTCGAAGGCCTAAGAACAAAATTGAGATTTCCCCCAGGAAGAAGAAATTTCTCCTAAGGATGTTGCCATTACCTTCAGCTTCAGCTCCTAACCAAGGGCTTCTAGCCTGCCTGCCCAACTGATGTCAGACTGTACAGCACTGGGGATCACAAGAACAAATCCCTTGAAATAAATAATACATGCACACACTACTAATTCTGACATACTTGGTGGCCATTCTTAGGTCCTGAAGGAGAGTGAAAAATAACCAAGTGATAAAAGTATGGTATTTAGTTAGGATTTCCCTTTGTTCAATGTTCCTTTCTTAAGTATCCTTTTCAGTATGGACTAGTCAATTCACCGGCCAAGTAATGAGACCAAAAAATAAATAAATAATCTTCTAACCAAGAACATCTGGCTAAAAAAAATTCTTCAGCTCTGAGCAATAATTGTGACTGATGTTCTGACATTTCTGAAGTTCTCCTTGGTAAGTCTCTGCTGGTGGTCGCACTATCACAGCCAAATCACTGTCCTCTGCCATTACCCCACCTTGCACCCAAGCCCCTCCCTCCTTCTTCCTCTACTCTCCTCTCTCACCCCTAACATAATTCGGCCTTTTAGACCAGCAATGCCTCTAAGACGGTCCAAGCATCTAAAAATAAAATAAAGTCTCTCAGTCTACTTCTGGTGAATAGCACCTTCTCTGGTCACACACTCTTCTTCCCAAGCTTTATTCTCATCCTCTAACCCAATAGCTAACACTCCCATTTTGGATTTTCTGTTTCCCTCATTGGGAAATCTAAAAGTAAACCAAGCAGCCTGGGCAACATCATGAGATCTTGTCTCTACGAAAAATAAAAAAAAATTAGCCCGGCGTGGTGGTGCATGCCTATCATACCAGCTACTCAGGAGCCCGAGGCAGGAAGATCGCCTGAGCCCAAAAGGTCAAGGCTGCGGTGAGTTGAGATTGTGCCACAGCACTCCAGCATGGGCGGTGGAGCAAGACCTTGACTCAAAAAATAAAAATAATTAAAAGTAAGTCAATCTAGTTAATAAATGATTGATAGATGATAGCTAGATAGAGACCAAAAAAAATGGAATACTTCCCTCCCTCCCACCTCTGACACACAATATTGATTTTAAGGGACAGCAAAGTTGATTTTAAATATCCTGCTGTTCCCTCTGTAGATGCTCTCCTGCTTGTCAGAGATGATTGAAATTGTTCATGAGAAGTGAAGCATAAAAATAACCTTCCCATCAGCAGCTTACGAAAGATCACGGGTTCAATATCTTGAAAAAATTCTTTTAATTCTGATTTTTCTGAAAAATGTGAGTCTGAGTTCCTGATGACAGAACTCGAGTCCTAGGAGATGGAGTGGTGAACCCCTCGTTAATGTGGACAGAAGAAAAGGAGTTATGTATTCCCACTGTCTCTTCTGTAAAACCCAAGTTACACACAGCTAACACATACCAGTGTGACCCTATTGGTTGCTAAAAAAAATTAAAGCACCTTCATACCAGTTTGTAAACTACCCTTCTGAGCCCTCAAGTCCCCGTCGCATTGCCCCAGCCCCACCTACCCCTGGGGTCTCTCCTGCCCTTGCCCAGTAAGCCAGATACTAGAGGGATCCAGGTTCAGTGTCTGCCCCAGTTAGCCCTGAAAGTCCAACTTCCTGACTCCTGTATCGGCTTCCTGGGAATCCTAGAGGTCCAGCTAGTGCCCTGCCCCACCGCTATCTTGGGCAGTCCTGACAGCACCCCTGCCCCTGCCCGCCGGTCCCCTCTGGTTTACTCACATCTTCTCCCACTCTTGTGTGTCTCCCTGGCCAGATCTAGAAACCTGATATGACAAAGGCCATGTTCTGACCTCCCAAACCTGTGGCCGTCCCCGTGTACTAGCTTCATGTCACTGTCACATGGCATCGAATGGGAGTTGCGGCCTTCACCGTGGGCCTTGAATTCCCCCTCCATTTTACAGATGGAATTTGTTCACACCCACTCAGCTCCCACCCTCCACTGGCAACAGTATCGATTTTACTCATAGAGAGTCAGACAGTGAAACTCTGCTCTATAGAAATCCCGCTAAAGGTATCATAACTCATTTGAATGCTGTCATTACAGTTGCCATTGCCCACCCTACACACATTTCACAGATGAGGAAAGGGAGGTTATTTAAACCTTAAGTTGTTAACCCAGGATCTGACAACAGAGTTCACATACTTAAGTATTAGGCTATTAATACTTAATTTAAGTAAGTTAACTTACTTAGCTTAAGTAACTTAAGTAAGTTAATACTTGACTATTGCACCTAACAACAGAACCCACACACTTAACGATGGGACTGCATTGTCTTTCACTTGGCAGAAGCAATGAAGTTTGACCCACTTAAAAATTACAGTCTAAGCCAGGCTCGGTGGCTCAGCCTGTAATCCCGCGCCTTTGGGAGACTGAGGTGAGTGGATTGCCTGAGCCCGCGGGTTCGAGACCACCTGG